GTAAACGCAGATGTAAAATGCTTCTTATTGTAATTTCTGCTCGTCGTCAGACTAATTTCGCACTTCAGTTACAATTCTCCACTCAGATGAGAATTCCAGAATGGCATTCTATCAGCAGACCGCACTCTGACGTGTGTAGCTACTTTTCTCCAGTAAAATGCTAGATTAACTTTAAGCAACACATTCTTTCTATAATAAACATTACAAATATGATGGCTATGCAGCGTTTTTGCTTTTTATAGTAAGCTCATTTACTTGTGGCTACCAGCCAAATAGCGTTGCACTTCTGTCATATGATGAAAATTAAGCGATTTTCTGCTGAATGTGTTGCACTAATGTATTTTCTGTGAAGGAAAACTATAGTTGCATATCCCTGATCACTCTATTGAAGCAAAAAACACTGTTGGCTTTCAATATAAAATGGGACCCCTGTCAATACACAGCTGGACTCACCTGCTCCCACTTTCTCCCGTTGTGCTGTTTAAGTGATAATGCCCGAGAAGCCGGTGTTTGGAGGATATATTGGCACGGGTGTTAGGCCCAAGACAAAGTCGAGTGACTGGCTCAACTGTTCTGGGGAACTACGGTAAGCTTTGTAATGTTAAATAATGTGACTGGTGAAATAAAGCAGATCGCGTTCTTAATCTCCTAACGTATTGTAAGTTGACTGCAGGTATTTACTTAAAATTAGCTTAGTGGTTAAGAGCGTTGTGCCAGTAACCGAAAGGTCGCTGGTTCTAATCCCAGAGCCGACTAGGTGAAAAATCTCTGTGCCCTTGAGCAAGGCACTTAACCCTAATTGCGCCTGTAAGTCGCTCTGAATAAGAGCGTCTGCTAAATGACTAAAATGTAGCTACAAATATTAAAATGTATTGAACAACTTCAAAGGAATAGTTTAAACGGTATCAACGTTATTGAAAAACAATCCCGTGGCTATTTCCAAATACGCTATACCGCCCAAGCCTAACAAGGGGCACTGTTTTCAAACTCCACTGAGGTTCTGTAATCTGGAAGTTAGCAACGCTAACAAGTACATGTAAAATCGCATAGAGAATGCGAACGAGCGCATTGCTAACATTTTATACAGTCTCTGACCTAAACTGTACAAGTAACTTAAATGCTACTCAGTTTGCTACACGCTCAAAACACATTATACAGCAAGGCTCTTGATCTAGGAGAGGATTCTCTGCTGTTACCAAGCGAAGCCTGATTTTGGATAAGCAAACCACTTAGCAAGATGGCTAACTAGCTACTAAATTAGCAAACCGAAAGCACAAATGCAGCACATTTTAGACAGTGATAAGGTACATAGCTGGCAGATGTTTTGAATTCCATACTGTAACTAGATCACCTGGCGTGTGCTGCACAACAGTGAGTGACTTATAAGGCTCCGGTCTCGTCGTTGTGTGCTTGTAAACAAACACCACGTGACTCGGGACTACCGGCAAGCTTCATAAAGAAAAATTGTGACTGATGAAGTGAGGAATGTGATCTTTATCTCCTAACGTATTGCACAAGTTGACTGCAGTTATTTACTTAAAGTAGATACAAATACTCAATTTTATAATTTAAAAAAAGCAAATAAATAGATTAAACAGTTTTGACGATATTGAAAAACCATCCTGTGGCTGTCTCCAAATAACCCGGGAATACTTTATACCTCCCAAGCCTATTATACAGCATTTAGAGCTTTGTGCTGTCTAAGTTTATTATGCAATAGTCCTCAGGTAGCATGGCAGACAGACTGTTATCCATGTCTGATTTGAGCAGTGCCAACGTCAGCCAGTTCCTCTGCTTGCACATCTGAGCGGAAGCACAGAGTGAACTGGAGCTCCATTCTGGGGATTGCCAATCTGGAGACTAACACACACTAGGAAATATAAGGCCTAATGTGATATTTTATCCTTTGAAGCTTTGATGTAAATCTACCGCAAAATGTTCAAACGTGGCCTTTTTTATGATGAAACAGTCGTCCTCTACCCTACATATCCCCCAATTGTCAGACAAGCGCAGGTTGTAAAGAATTGAATACCGTCCAATAACTTTTCAGAACAACATTCTATTGCTGTACCATCTTCTGTTGTTTTTTGATAGGTAGTGTTTATTCAACCGGCTGCTGGTTTTCATTGAGATGTATATTTTGCCGCCAGATGCCTCCAGTTACTTCAGCAGTAACCTTTTTTAGAAAAGTATCCAGTGAATTAAATCATGTCAATACCTTCAAGATGGCACCTACAATATTTCAGCAAAATAGATAGTTGAACTTTTGGTGTCCCTCTGTGGGATCATTGACAATGATGTTTTGGCCCAAAGCCTTTTGGTTTCAATGGGTGAGGTAATGGCCAGGTTATTCTAGGCTTCTGTGCAGGCAGTGTGAATTTTTACAGTACGTTCCTTACGCAGTAGGCCTACATCACCCCAAAAGCCTCCAGCATACCAGAGCATTGAGCTCTATCTATGATAAAAGGGTGAAGAGAAGTGTTTCTAATTTCAAACCAGTTTTCAATTGATAAGCTAAGCCAAAACATTTTACCATTTTATATTTTAATTTTGTTTTCTTTCTCACATGTGAGCCAGTCTTGCTAGTAGGCTTACATAGATACTTGATACAAGTAGCTTCACAAACTAGCAAAGGAGATGCCTCGTATCCTGTCTTTGGAGAGCCTTTTCAGTCTTGGCTAAACCCTTTGAGTTTTCTGGCGGGCACCAGGAGAGACGTTAGTGCTCTGGGTTTACTTTTTCCCCTTGACACCAGAGACAAGGGACTGATTGAGCTTTAATGAGCTGTCCTCTATCCTATTTAGTATGCACTTTTGGTGCCTCTCCAGGTGAAGGCCTTCGATTGGCTGTCACTGGAAACGTGTCTTTATGAGGATGGAACACACCATTTCCACCCAATCGCTCAATCCAACAGTTGAAATAAGCCAAAATAGAATGTACATTCTTTCCACCTGTTGCCCATTTGTTAAACAGTAGTCCAGTTATCTGAAACTCATGTCATTTTCTTATTTGACACAGAACACACTTTGGAAGTTTTTGTATCATGCTATCTGGGATGATACAGGGCAGGTTTCCGACCCTGTGGGAAGTAACAGCGACTGGTCCAGATTTTGTTGCTTCATGCTGGTCAGCCAGCCCTGGTGCCATGGATATTTAAGGAACGTTGACTCCCCAGTTTGAACAGAACAAATGGGGCATTAGCGAGACCATAACCACAGCCATATATGACTCCCGTGGGCTAGTCACACCGGACGGCCTGGTGTCAATGTGTACAGAGCAGACCTAACTTGCATTCTTGCTAGGTCTCTTGTCTAGTCATTGCACTATAAAAGAGTCCATGTAAACATGACCCAGTAGTCAAGCGTTGGTAGCTGCCCCCAGACAATGTCCAGTCCTTCTGAGAGCTGGTCTGGTGCCACCACTGCGTGTGGAAATGAGCTGTTGGATCTTAACACCATGTCCGAGGCCATTGGCCCACGCGGGTAGTTGCTCTGTTCCACTGCCCTCTGACGACCTCCACAGATGAGTCCTGGAAAATTCAGGAGGATCCTGATCCTCATAACAGCATATGTCCTTACTCTTAGTTCCTGTGTCATAGGTTAGCTAATGTCCCATAGTAGGATGGTATTATGTGGGTGATTTGACATGCGCTGATATAAGCACACACCCCTGAGGGGCGCCCGTGTTGACGGTCAGCATTGCGGAAGTGTTGTTGCCTACCCTCACCACCTGGGGGCGACCTGTCAGGAAGTCTAGGATCCAGTTGCAGAGGAATGGTGTTCAGTCCCAGGGTCCCGAGCTTGGTGACGCGCTTGGATTTGACTTGTGTTGAACGATGAGTTGTTGAACGCTGATAGGCGTCGTTGATTTCAAGTTCCAATTTCTGCTGTTTGTAGAAGCTTCTTAGAAATGTCAATTTGATTGCTCCGTTCCTCTACAAAGACGGCTGTTGCAAACTAGCCTAAACTCATGTAGTGTATTGATTTAGTTTTCAAAAGAGTGGAACAATGGTGCTACGTCGTCACAGTTTTCAAAATCCATGTGAAAACTGAGCCTCTTCTGTCAATCATTCATTTTAAGTTGTTTTAGGCCTATGTGGTTTATTACGTTTAGCAGTTCTTTGACTTTATTTAATTAATTTGTTTCAAAGAACTGTTGAGACCCCTTTGACGTGATTCCAAATAAGCCAACACAATGACCCTCATTGATTTGTGAGTGTTTATGTTACATTGTGTTTAAACTTTCAACCAGTGTTTTATAATAGTGCAAATATCTCCCCAGAGAGATGAGGGAAACACCACGGCACTGTTGAAATTATCTATAGGGATGTTGATTTGGTGCAAAATGCACAGTGAACATTGAGGCCTTCAATGTTTTAGGAGTAGCCCTCCTACTGACCCTGACACATGACATTCTAGTCATAGGTTAGTCTGGTTACTGGCAGGTTCATGTGGATGGGGATTAGGACTAACTATTCTTGTCTCTTCTATTGCAGGTCTGTAATCCAAATAGAATGTAGCCTAACGTTAAAAGGGGAAAGCACCAGTGAAAACCATTGTGCTGTGCTTTTGCTTTGGCAGGAATGGATCTGTGCATATCTGCCTTCTCTTCGCATGCAGATAACCTGTCAGACAGCTGACTCTTTGCCAACTAGTCTGCAGGTCAATAACATCCCAGTGTTCAAACCACTCATTAAATTGCCAACAGGTGAATGTTGAAGGATCACCATCGCTCAACTCTCTATTCTAGCCTCGTCTTATCAGTCTTTGTCTTTCAAAGGTACTCCCCAGAGAGTAGAAATCTTGGGCCTAGACTCGATCAGATGTCTCTTACTTTGTTGCATGACACCAGCATTTGGCCATTCTCCGGTGTTGTGTGAACTTCCATGGGCCTGTCATTGAGTCACGGTGTTGTGTGAACTTCCATGGGCCTGTCATTGAGTCACGGTGTTGTGTGAACTTCCATGGCCCTGTCATTGAGTCACGGTGTTGTGAACTTCCATGGCCCTGTCATTGAGTCACGGTGTTGTGAACTTCCATGGCCCTGTCACTGAGTCACAGTGTTGTGTGAACTTCCATGGCCCTGTCACTGTGTTGTGTGAACTTCCATCGCCCTGTCATTGAGACACGGTCAGAAGTAGGGCAAAATTTAAACACAAAGCAGACAACTCTTTGGTCCTTTAAAAACCTACTGTATGTATAATATTGTGTGCTATAGCTTGGAAAGTAAATAAATGTGACTCGATTACGTGATCTTTGTTTCCAACATTAGGGCTGTTTTCCTAAAGAAGTTAAATCTGCTTCGTGTTTTGTTTTCTTGCCGCGACACTAACTAGTATCGCAATACTGGTATCATCCCGGACCTAGTCAGGAGCCACATTCTCTCCTAAGGTTAGCTCTGTAGAACATTCTGGGCTCCAGTCCCAGAGAATAGTGACATGTCAGCAGCCCATTCAAATGAACAGGCTGAGTGTTGCACTCTGTCAGTAGAGTGGTGGAGGGGGATGGGGGAGCTAAATTCGGTGCTCTGTTTTACATTGCAGTAGTGTGGGGGACTAAATGTGCAGGCTCCATTAAAGGTCTGGCTGGCTGGTTGGACTGAGCACATGTCTAGGTAAAACCAGAGTGGATCTCTTCCCAGGAAAGGGAGGGGTTGTATTGTCATTCAAATCTGACGACGGTTGTTGGTTTTAATAAATGTATTGTGTATTGTCTTTATGCCCAATTGCACTGAATCTACATTCACCACAGTGTGTTCAAGTTACCACCTCATTCTCAGAAGGATGTGGCAAAGGAGGAACCTGAACACGTACATATTACCTTTTTGATGTGTGTCAAGAAAAGTCACCCTTGATTTGAGAACACAAAAACATAGCTATAACTTGTATTTCACATTATGAGTAATGGGAAAGTATGCAGGCCAGGGGCTACCCTGTTCAAAGTGCTATGTCCTCAGCTGCCAGTGTGAGCTCTGTGGCTGTGTTCAGTAGGGCCCTATAAAATCTGCATCGCGGAGAACGTGGAATCCAGACATTTAAAATGGAATTCGACAATATAAAATAATAACATTTACATTTTAGTCATTTAGCAGGCGCTCTTATCCAGAGCGACTTACAGTTAGTCAGTGCATACATTATTTTTCTTTTTATTAAATTTTTTCATACTGGCCCCCCGTGGGAATCGAACCCTCAACCCTGGCGTTGCAAACGCCATGCTCTACCAACTGAGTTACATCCCTGCCGGCCATTCCCTCCCCTACCCTGGACGACGCTGGGCCAATTGTGCGCCGCCCCATGAGTCTCCCGGTCGCGGCCGGCTACGACAGAGCCTGGATTCGAACCAGGATCTCTAGTAATGGTCTCTTGCTAGTGCTCACTTGCATTAACCCTTAGCCTACAATGGTCACACCCCTGCGGAAATCGAATTAACATAATCAAAAAATCCCCATCAAAATCCGTCTAAGCTACATGGGTTGTGTGTCAATCCACCACATCCACCGATATCGACCTTCCGCATCTACAGTGAAAGGTGGTAGAGCTAGAGCGGTGTTTGTCAGACCATGAGACGTCTTCTCACATAATCGAATGTAGTGTCCAAACAGTTTGGCCTACAAACTACACTCTATTGAAAGATGAGATTCTCACGAACACGATGGTGTCCTCCGTTTTGCTCTAGGACCTCCACAAGCCTCACGACTCGTCTGAAGGTCCCCGGTACCAGTTTAAAAAAAATAATGGAATTGTGTACAGTTGTGGTCAAAAGTTTTGAGAATGACACAAATATTAATTTTCACAAAGTCTGCTGCCTCAGTTTTTATGATTGCAATTTGCATATACTCCAGAATGTTATGAAGAGTGATCAGATGAGTTGCAATTAATTGAAAATGAATTTAATCCCCCCAAAAAACATTTCCACTGCATTTCAGCCCTGTCACAAAAGGACCAGCTGACATGTCAGTGATTCTCTCGTTAACACAGGTGAGTGTTGACGAGGACAATGCTGGAGATCACGCTCATGCTGATTGAGTTAGAATAACAGACTGAAGCTTTAAAAGGAGGGTGGTGCTTGAAATCATTGTTCTTCCTCTAACTATGGTTACCTGCAAGGAAACACATGCCGTCATCATTGCTTTGCACAAAAAGGGCTTCACAGGCAAGGATATTGCTGCTAGTAAGATTGCACCTAAATCAACCATTTATCGGATCAACAAGAACTTAAAGGAGAGAGATTCAATTGTTGTGAAGAAGGCTTCAGGGCGCCCTAGAAAGTCCAGCAAGCGCCAGGACCGTCTCCTAAAGTTGATTCAGCTGCGGGATCGGGGCACCACCAGTGCAGCGCTTGCACAGGAATGGCAGCAGGCAGGTGTGAGTGCATCTGCATGCACAGTGATGCGAATTCTTTTGGAGGATGGCCTGGTGTGTAAGTCGCTCTGGATAAGAGCGTCTGCTAAATGACGTAAATGTAAGAAGGGCAGCAAAGAAGCCACTTCTCTCCAGGAAAAACATCAGGGACAGACTGATATTCTGCAAAAGGTACAGGGATTGGACTGCTGAGGACTGGGGTAAAGTCATTTTCTCTGAAACCCCTTTCCGATTGTTTGGGGCATCCGGAAAAAAGCTTGTCCGGAGAAGACCAGGTGAGCGCTACCATCAGGAGTGGGCTCACTCACAATTTTGCCTAAGAACACAGCCATGAATAAAGAATGGTACCAACACATCCTCTGAGAGCAACTTCTCCCAACCATCCAAGAACAGTCTGGTGACGAACAATGCCTTTTCCACATGATGTAGCACCTTGCCATAAGGCAAAAGTGAGAACTAAGTGGCTCGGGGAACAAAACATCGACATTTTGGGTCCATGGCCAGGAAACTCCCCAGACCTTAATCCCATTGAGAACTTGTGGTCGATCCTCAAGAGGCGGGTGGACAAACAAAACCCCACAAATTCTGACAAACTCCAAGCATTGATTATGCAAGAATGGGCTGCCATCAGTCAGGATGTGGCCCAGAAGTTAATTGACAGCATGCCAGGGTGGATTGCAGAGGTCTTGAAAAAGAAGGGTCAACACTGCAAATATTGACTCTTTGCATAAACTTAATGTAATTGTCAATAAAAGCCTTTGACACTTATGGAATGTTTGTAATTATACTTCAGTATACCACAGTAACATCTGACAAAAATATCTAAATACACTGAAGCAGCAAACTTTGAAAAGCAATACTTGTGTCATTCTCAACTTTTGACCATGACTGTATATATAAAGATTTAGTGCCTAAAATAAGGGGATAAATACATGTATAAAAAAAAATCTAGTTTCCTGATCTCTCTTGCATCTCTGACACAAAATAAAGCACATTTTATAGGGCCCTCGTTCAGTGTCAGTAGTCAGTGGTTGGGTGTTCTGCAGTGCCATCATTCCCTCAGTGGCAGTGGGACCCTGCTCTTTCCAAAGGCCCTTCTGTGTTCTGGGCAGGCTAGCCTCGCTTTATGGTTCACATGTTATCTCCAGACGTGTCAATGAGGAAGGAAACTAGAGGGACTTCCTCTTGCTTGGCAGAGTTGTCAAGCATTTTCCCTCAGAATATTGTTCCTTTTATTCATTACATTAATGTGTGATGGGCAGGCTAGGCTAACTTATTGAAGCTTTTGTGCTTTGTCTCCTATCAAGAATGTCATGTTATGCTCTTGTCAAGTCTATCATGCAACCAAAAGTTTCCTCAGTAGTGGTATGTTTATGGCTAGGTCTGCTTGACTTGGATAGAGTAGGCTATTCACTGACGTGCCCTGCTGTGCTGCTACCATGGCTTCTTTAGCAGTGTACACCATTGTGTAATAGGTTTAAAGCTTTACCTAAGGTGAAAGGGGGCACTTGTTGGAGTTAAACACCAGCGTCTCTTCTTAAACCATCTTATTTTTCTTCCACACATTCGGACACGGTCAGGCTTTGTTGTAGGTTGAAAGGATGATTACACTGTGATGGCGCTCCAGAACCTCATGTGCTATGGATGGAAGATTGTGTACAACTTGTTTACCAAAGTTATTTTGCTCACAACATTGAAAAAGGATTTGATCACAACTTTTTTTGTTTATTGTTCTATTAGGCTTTTGATGAAGTAATTCTCATGGCTATTCACACAACTGATTTAGGTTTCTTTCGTCTTATGTCATGATGCATTTGATATGAATTGGCTGTGCTGTTGGGTACATTGTGATCTAGGGTTGGGTGGTATCCAGAAATCCATACCTTCATACCGTGCCTGTGCCATCCCGGGATGGATATATATATATATATATATATATATATATATATATATATATATATATATATATATATATATATATATATATAGTATTACCGGTAGTGCACACAAGGGATGTATTAAAATAAATAAATAAAAAATTAACGTAAAAAAAGCTCACAGAACATCACTTACCAGAATGCTAACAAGGACTAAGGAATTCTCATAGCGGATCCTAGGTAAATGCTAACGAGCACATGCAAACATTTACTACGAGGACCGACAACCCAGCTCATAAAGTTAAGCAAGTATCTCAAAACGGAGTTTGCAGCACACACAAAACAAATATTAGACATCAATGATCTTAATCCAGGAGGGGATTGTCTCTACTGCTGTTAGCAAGAATCTTGCAAGCTAACGTTAGCAAAACCTAGCCGGAGAAAATGTATTTGGCACATCTTAGAGTTAATGTAATAGTTATATATATATATATATATATATATATATATCTTATATCTGGCAAAAATGGAGTATTGAAATTCACACAAGTGTAACTTGATCACCTCACTTAAGTTCCGCTGCAGGAGTGACTCCGCTCAAGATGGTCCCATTTTGCTCATGTTGCTTCTTTGTAAACAAACACGTGACTGGCTCAAACTGCAGTTTTTTGGGAAACTAGTACCTGTAGGCTTCATAATGAAAAATTATCTATTGGGTGAAATGATGAACGTGATCTGCATTATCTGTTACGTAGTGCACAAGTTGGCTGCAGGTATTTATTTTAAAAGGATTCATATTCAAAGCCCAAAAAACGTCACTTACCAGAATGCTAACAAAATGCTAACAAGTACTAAGGAATCCTCAGACAACGCTAACTAAATGCTAACGAGCGCATTGCGAACATTTTGTACTGTTTCTGACCTAAACTATAAAAGTAACTAAAAAATGCTACTTAGTTTGCTGCATGCACAAAACAAATATTAGCCAGCAAGGCTCTTGATCCAGGAGGGGATTCTCTGCTGTTACCAAGCGAATACTTGATTTTGGAAGAAGCTAACCACTTAGCTAGATAACTAGCTACTAAATTAGCAAACCAAATGCACAACTGCAGAGCATTTAGCACATTTTAGACCGTTAACTTAATATTTATAAGATAACTAGCTGGCAAACATTTAGCTGTGAATTCCATACTGTAATTAGATCACCTGGCGCATGCTGCACAACAGTGAGTGGCTCACAAGGCTCCGGTCTCTTGTCGTTGTGTGCTTGTAAACAAACACTACGTGACTGAGGACTACCGTAAGCTACTGTACATAATGTGACGGATGAAATGAAGAATGCAATGTTTATCTCCTAACGTATTGCACAAATTGACTGCAGGTATTTACTTAAGGTAGCTACAAATATTCATATTCACCGATTTTGAGTGTTTGTACCCCGTAACTTCATATTTATGAGCCTCATCTGGGGGCTGCTAACAGCTTAAAAAGAAAAGAAAAAAAGAAAATGTTATCACCAGGAACACCATTCTGATTGGCTGGCTGTTGCAATGAATAGCCTGTGATGAAAAACAAATGAGGACACCACAATTTACTGCCCAGCAACTGGCATGCTGCTTTTTATGCGTACCGATTTTCTGCTGGATATGCCTGTGTATCTGTCAGCTCATGTGTCTATGTAGGCGAACACAAACATGAAAACGGGGAAGGAAGCTAAGCTGATTGAAGTTGATTGCCTGCTGTTTGCTTTGCATTTCAATCCTGTCACCCTCTAAAGGGATGGTTTAATGGGTTAAGCGATAGCAAGGCCTCAACATTTAGAGAGTTGGAGCGGATTGCGAGGCAATTTCCACTGCACAGGGGCAGGTCCAGAATAAACTCGTAATTTGAGTGGTTGATGTGAAATACAGAAGAAGGTCGTTACCCCTCATCCAAAAATGACATTTTAAAAAGCTCCATGCTAACAGTGATCCCACTGAGTTAGTATGCACATGGGAAAGAAAGGGGCTGCTTCCTCACCTGTTACTACTGTGGGAAAGGGGAAGCTGCTTGACCGATTAGTCCCATAATGTTCAAAGGACATTAGCTAGATTATCAAGATTACTCACTTTTTTTGTATGCCTAGACTATTTGAAGATGCATAACAAGGGTAATTTTGATATGGTTCGATTTCTCTAGTATTGCAGTGCTTTGTTCAGTGTGCCTGTCACCTTGAGTGGGCTTTACTGAACATTCCACTACGTTACCCCACCAAGCAGGATCTATGAATTTTGACCCACTAAATCCACTTGTTCAGTATTATCAAATTTTTCAATGTGACTGTGTTAATTTGTCCTCGTCCATTTCTCTCAGGGACTGTCTTCACAACCGCTGATCCGATTTACTGGAAGCCAAGGGGTAAGTGCATTCGTAGTTTTTATAAACCTTTTTAAATTTGTATCTATCCCGAGTACAATTGTGATCACTGTCAGTAAATTATATGTTTAGTTTGCACCACAGACTACATTTTCCTATCAGTAAAGAATGATTAACTCAGTGACTGGGTCCTGTGCGTATAACCAGGCACTGACTAAACTGCCTCTGTAGCTGCAGTGAGCTGTATTTGTTGTCTGCGGGTGACTGGCAGGATAAGATTTTCCTGTAATTTTAGCATGACTACAATTACATCTGCACTGAGCAGGATGAGCACGGCTGTACTCGCAGCCCTCAAGTAGAGGTTTCCCTCCCAGGGTGGACAGACAGCTCTCCTATCTGAGAGACAAGGACCCAGACCAGACCCATCACATGCTCTTCCAGTTCTAGCAGCATCAGCCTGTACAATTCACCCATACATTCTACAGTAGCATTAAAAGTTTTTTTTCTAAAGCGAGTGTTGTTGCATTCTCATTAAGAGCAGCACTGTATGCGTTCCAGACACTTAGCGCTGCTTGTCTGTTTCTCCACCAAACGAAGCTCACTGGGTCACAGTGGAGCGGCCCCATTTTCAGAATCACACAAGATAACACTTTTCAAACAGTTTTCACGTCTTGCCTTTTACCCTGTAGTGTTTACTGTGTAGATTAGATTCATGTATTTGTTATCATGTCAGAGGTCAGAACTTAAACTGGAGCAGTGCCACAGATCTTGCTAACGTGTCTAATTTATATTGTTTGGATAACCCTCAGTCTGTAATATTTGATCATGCTAGAGAGTATTAAAGGAGCTGCTGCGTTCTTCATATGGCCGTATATCTCCATCAGATGCCTGCGTCTTTCCTCCCTGACTATTCTCATTTCAGATGCTTATAGTGGGAGGGGAGGGATCAGTAATTGCTCCTATCAACTTGAGAGATCAGATGGTTAGAAAATATGGTGTTTTTACATGCTGAATTATGATTAATGGCTGAATCATGGCTGGGCTGGGTGTGAACCTTTTTCCTGAGTTCACTGGAATGCTAATGAATGAGGGGGAAAGCTGCTAAATGATGTCGGCTGCTCCGTAAGACCCATAGCATTAACATTCATTCATATTGGCAGAGCTTTCATTCACAGCCACTTCCAGGGTCAAGGTGGCATAATAGAACCAGCTCAAAGAACATACTGCTTGTTTGTGTCAGTGTTCCTCAGGCTGTGTATCTGGCTGTATTTGGCGAGGACAGGTATGTGCCAGCGATGATGGCCCCCTGCTTTACACGGCCTCTCCCTCTGCAGTTTCATTAATTATAGTGCTGAGGATGAGACCAGAGGAGCTGCTGTGAAGGGCCAGTCCTCCCGAGTCCCACCGGCCTGAAAAGAGCCTTTGTTTGCTGGACACCGTGCAAAATGAGAGGAGCTGGAGGGAGAAGGGGGTTGGAAATGGCTGTTTAAAATCCACTTGCTTTTCAAATGGTAGAGGGGGTAGGGTGGGGAACCGTGTCTGTCTGGGGCAGAGGGTGCACTGGAGTGTGCTGTTCATTCAGCTTTTTGTTAAGGATAAACTTACCTTTTTCCATGCTCCCTTTTTCTCATTTGAATGCTTGCTCCATGTTTTAGTAGTAAAATGCATAATTTTGTCTTAGCATTTCCTCTGGGAGAACGCTGCTTCCAGACTGTCTGGTTATGGCTAGACGCAGTGCAGTGGTTTTATGGAGGTGCACTGGTTTTTGTGGATTAACAAGGTTTTAAAGAGGGTTGTCAGTCACCACCTGATAGTAACATGTCTACGTGAAGTTCCAGTGTACATACAGTGAGGGGGAAAAAAAGTATTTCATCCCCTGCTGATTTTGTACGTTTGCCCACTGACAAAGAAATTATCCGTCTATAATTTTAATGCTAGGTTTATTTGAACAGTGAGAGACAGAATAACAACCCAAAAAATTCTGAAAAACGCATGTCAAAAATGTTATAAATTGATTTGCATTTTAATTAGGGAAATAAGTATTTGACCCCCTCTCAATCAGAAAGATTTCTGGCTCCCAGGTGTCTTTTTATACAGGTAACGAGCTGAGATTAGCAGCACACTCTTAAAGGGAGTGCTCCTAATCTCAGCTTGTTACCTGTATAAAAGACACCTGTCCACAGAAGCAATCAATCAATCAGATTCCAAACTCTCCACCATGGCCAAGACCAAAGAGCTCTCCAAGGATGTCAGGGACAAGATTGTAGACCTATACAAGGCTGGAATGGTCTACAAGACCATCGCCAAGCAGCTTGGTGAGAAGGTGACAAGTTGGTGCGATTATTCGCAAATGGAAGAAACACAAAAGACCTGTCAATCTCCCTCACCCTGGGGCTCCATGCAAGATCTCACCTCGTGGAGTTGCAATGATCATGAGAACGGTGAGGAATCACCCCAGAACTACATGGGAGGATCTTGTCAATGATCTCAAGACAGCTGGGACCATAGTCACCAAGAAAACAATTGGTAACACACTACGCCGTGAAGGACTGAAATCCTGCAGCGCCCGCAAGGTCCCCCTGCTCAAGAAAGCACATAAACATGCCCGCCTAAAGTTTGCCAATGAACATCTGAATGATTCAGAGGAGAACTGGGTGAAAGTGTTGTGGTCAGATGAGACCAAAATGGAGCTCTTTGGCATCAACTCAACTCGCCGTGTTTGGAGGAGGAGGAATGCTGCCTATGACCCCAAGAACACCATCCCCACCGTCAAACATGGAGGTGGAAACATTATGCTTTGGGGGTGTTTTTCTGCGCCCGAGTGGCGCAGTGGTCTAAGGCACTGCAGCGCAGTGCTAGCTGTGCCACTAGAGATCCTGGTTCGAATCCAGGCTCTGTCGTAGCCGGCGCGACCGGGAGACCCATGGGGCGGCGCACAATTGGCCCAGCGTCGTCCAGGGTAGGGGAGGGAATGTCCGGCAGGGATGTAGCTCAGTTGATGGAGCATGGCGTTTGTAACGCCAGGGTTTTGGGTTCGATTCCCACAGGGGGTAGGAAAAAATGTATGCATTCACTAACTGTAAGTCGCTCTGGATAAGAGCGTCTGCTAAATGACGTAAATGTAATGTAAAATGTAAAACTTCACCGCATCAAAGGGACGATGGACGGGGCCATGTACCGTCAAATCTTGGGTGAGAACCTCCTTCTCTCAGCCAGGGCATTGAAAATGGGTCGTGGATGGGTATTCCAGCATAACAATGACCCAAAACACACGGCCAAGGCAACAAAGGAGTGGCTCAAGAAGAAGCACATTAAGGTCCTGGAGTGGCCTAGCCAGTCTCCAGACCTTAATCCCATAGAAAATCTGTGGAGGGAGCTGAAGGTTTGAGTTGCCAAACGTCAGGCTCGAAACCTTAATGACTTGGAGAAGATCTGCAAAGAGGAGTGGGACAAAATCCCTCCTGAGATGTGTGCAAACCTGGTGGCCAACTACAAGAAACGTCTGACCTCTGTGATTACCAACAAGGGTTTTGCCACCAAGTACTAAGTCATGTTATGCAGAGGGGTCAAATACTTATTTCCCTCATTAAAATGCTAATCAATTTATAACATTTTTGACATGCGTTTTTCTGGATTTTTTTGTTGTTATTCTGTCTCTCACTGTTCAAATAAACCTACCATTAAAATGATAGACTGATAATTTCTTTGTCAGTGGGCAAACGTACAAAATCAGCAGGGGATCAAATACTTTTTTCCCTCACTGTAGATAACTGCCTGTAGGCTCAGGCAGTAGCCCATTACTGCAGCAGTACTTTTGGTTGGCCCCTGCCTGCAATGGGATCAGGGCATCTGTTATGTGAAGTCTCAGTCATCCTACAGTCACGGCCAGGCCCGGCTCTGTCATCCTGTACTGTGTCAGACTGACTCACCCCCCTGCCTTCCAGTGAGTTCTGCTGCCTCTTAGTCATCTCGGGTAACACATACACACACTTTCATTATGCATTGTGTGTGTGTGAGGTTAACATACTCCTACAGCTGAAGAGGATTTCTACCTAAGTGTCTGTGGTATGTGCACACCTGCAGAGTCACCTCAGTTATCAGGAAGCAGTGAATGTTGATAATATTCAGCGGAACCTTTTTGAGTGAGGAAGCATGACTATTTTCTTGTATTTGTTTTGTTCATGTAATATCCAGGCTACCTCAATTGGACATTAAGAAAATGGGGCTAATCCCATTCAGAGTTTCATATAAACATACAAGGCAATCCGTTGATAACTCTGCACTGTGAAAGGCTAGAACTCTTCATGTGGAGCATGTAAGGCAGGGTTGTACTGGAGCTGAGGCTGAGCATCTCACGTAACAGAGAGCCCTTGGCTCCCAGAAAGGCGGGGACACAGTGTTTATTTATAGTTGGCCACCTGCAGGCTTCACATGTGTTGGGACCTTGGGTAAACAGAGCAGTGAGTCACGACTCTCCAACACTGCAGGGAGCCACCAGGGGTCGGTCAGCCAGCCAACAACCCCAACACAGCCCTCTCCCCTTGCCCTGCCTCACTCCTCTCCTGTTAGACGAGACAGACTAGCTCACATACCCAGCTACCCTCTACCCCAGCAGGTATAGGTCCATAATCAAATTCTGGAAATTAGTTGATTTATTTCCAATGTAGTAGGGATGCTTATGTCCATTTACACCTAAGGTCTAAGGGCCCAGGGCTGGGTTTCTACTAAGGGTGTGTTTGTAGATTCGCTCCATCTACTCCGATTTAAGAGCACTCTCGTCTGTGTGCCAGAGCGCAGAATAACTAATGAATTTACGAACGCTCAACACCCGTTGAATATGGCCGGTGTCAGTAAATGTCGGCAAAAAAGCGTAATAAAATTTTCAGCAGCACAGTTGGTCACCAATAACATGAATTGGTGAAAACAGCCTAACCAGCTCTGCTAGGGCGAGTAAAATGGTCAGTGAGGTGTTCTCTCGTTTGTCTGGAAGTAGCTAGCAAGTTAGTCAATGTTAGCCAGTTAGCTTGTGTGCTTGACTGCCGTTGTGAGGTCAAAAAGCTCGGATCAACCCGACTCCTCGGCCAGAGCGTCCAGTGTGTGCACTAAACGCTCCGAGAGTGAAACGCTCTGAATTTACGAACGACCAGAGCGCACTGGCACTCCAGATTGAATTCACGAACACACCCTAAGCTAACATATGGAGTTGTTTTAAGATGGTCATACCAAGGATCATTTAGCTATTTGATTTAGAATTTTAGTATAAAAATGATTTGATTGAATTTGGCATTACTGCTATTAGTCCATAGAAAAGCATTGAAGAGCATATTCATACATGGCAAAACAAATCGTCAAATCTATAAAAAGGAAGTATGTTTTGAAGGGTCGGTCCTATATCTGAGAGATCAGTTATTTTTTTACCCATATATGCTTCTATATACAGTGAGGGGGGAAAAAAGTATTTGATCCCCTGCTGATTTTGTACGTTTGCCCATTTGACAAAGAAATGATCAGTCTATAATTTTAATGGTAGGTTTATTTAAACAGTGAGAGACGGAATAACAAAAAAATCCAGAAAAACGCATGTCAAAAATGTTATAAATTGATTTGCATTTTAATAAGGGAAATATGTATTTGACCCCTCTGCAAAACATGACTTAGTACTTGGTGGCAAAACCCTTGTTGGCAATCAGAGGTCAGACGTTTCTTGTAGTTGGCCACCAGGTTTGCACACATCTCAGGAGGGATTTTGTCCCACTCCTCTTTGCAGATCTTCTCCAAGTCATTAAGGTTTCGAGGCTGATGTTTGGCAACTCGAACCTTCAGCTCCCTCCACAGATTTTCTATGGGATTAAGGTCTGGAGACTGGCAAGGCCACGCCAGGACCTTAATTTGCTTCTTCTTGAGCCACTCCTTTGTTGCCTTGGCCGTGTGTTTTGGGTCATTGTTATGCTGGAATACCCATCCACGACCCATTTTCAATGCCCTGGCTGAGGGAAGGAGGTTCTCACCCAAGATTTGACTGTACATGGCCCCATCCATCGTCACTTTGATGCGGTGAAGTTGTCCTGTCCCCTTAGCAGAAAAACACCCCCAAAGCATAATGTTTCCACCTCCATGTTTGACGGTGGGGATGGTGTTCTTGGGGTCATAGGCAGCATTCTTCCTCCAAACACGATGAGTTGAGTTGATGCCAAAGAGCTCCATTTTGGTCTCATCTGACCACACTTTCACCCAGTTCTCCTCTGAATCATTCAGATGTTCATTGGCAAACTTCAGACGGGCATGTATATGTGCTTTCTTGAGCAGGGGGACTTTGCGGGCGCTGCAGGATTTCAGTCCTTCACAGCGTAATGTGTTACCAATTGTTTTCTTGGTGACTATGGTCCCAGCTGCCTTGAGATCATTGACAAGATCATCCCGTGTAGTTCTGGGCTGATTCCTCACCGTTCTCATGATCATTGCAACTCCACGAGGTGAGATCTTGCATGGAGCCCCAGGCCGAGGGAGATTGACAGGTCTTTTGTGTTTCTTCCATTTGCAAATAATCGCACCAACTGTTGCCACCTTCTCACCAAGCTGCTTGGCGATGGTCTTGTAGCCCATTCCAGCCTTGTGTAGGTCTACAATCTTGTCCCTGACATCCTGATTGATTGATTGCTTCTATGGCCAGGTGTCTTTTATACAGGTAACAAGCTGAGATTAGGAGCACAGAACAATAAAATGCAAATTAATTACTTAAATCATACAATGTGATTTTCTGGATTTTTGTTTTAGATTCTGTCTCTCACAGTTGAAGTGTACCTATGATAAAAATTACAGACCTCTACATGCTTTGTAAGTAGGAAAACCTGCAAAATCGGCAGTGTATCAAATACTTGTTCTCCCCACTGTATATTTTTTAACTGGTACCGGGCTACCTTCAGACGAGGCTTGTGGGCGTCCTAGAGAAAAACAACGGACATGTACTGTACGTGTTCGTGAGAATCTTACCTTTCGATGGCGGAGTCATATCAGTGTGTAGCCCAAACTGTTCGGAAGCTGCAGACAGAAGTTGGCTGATTGGTGGTACCAACTTCAGACGAGTCGCGTGACGCTTGTAGAGTTTGTGAGTCATCTTGCTGTCATATTAGTTTGTCGGCCAAACCGTTAAGACGATACAGACGTTTTCGTGAGAAGACCCGATTTTCGGGATGTCTCCTGGTCTGACATACCACTGTAGCTCTGCCACCTTCCACCGCAGATACGGAAGGCCGACATCGGCGGATGCAGCAATTGAGACTCATATCTCTAGCTTAAACAGACATTTGTTTATAATAATTAGATTTCCACAGGGGCGCAGACATCGACTCTAGGGTAATGCCAGTTTAGCCTACTCACTGTTTCTCTAAGAAGATTACGGCATGTTTGTGTCCGAGATACTGAACTCTGACAGCTCAACACCAGTCTATATGGATATTGGAATTTTCTTGTTACTGCTTGCATTTTACAAATTATTTTCCCTCTTTAAAAAACAGAAAGTCTGTGTGGGCCAGCTGCAGCCCCTGTCATGATGGGGGACTACTTCAGAAATACCTATGGGTAGCGTCTAGCTGGCTGTGTATTTGCATTTACTAACATACCCAGTTAAACAGGCAGAATGTTACAGCACAGGACAGTGGGGAGTTGTGGGCTAACCTAGCTCGGCTATGCACCCCTGTATTAGCTTGAAGACTCACCCTGTTACTCATCATCCCACACCGCCACCATGCAGGCATGAATGACACACACCTATACTGTACATTTGTTTGTGTAGTACATATACAGACAATTTCCAAAATAACAGAACAGCTTCAATGGCACAGGTTCTACAAGTGTCTGGAACTATGTTGGAGGGATACATCACCATTCTTCCATGATAAATATTATAATTGTGTTTTGTTGATGGTAGCGGAAAACGCTGTCTCAGGCGCCGCTCCAATGTATCCCCATAAGTGTTCAATTGGGTTGAGAACTGGTGACTAAGACGCTCTCTCTCTCACACACACACACACACACACACACACACACACACACACACACACACACACACACACACACACACGCTTCTACTAGACAGACTCAATCTCACAGCAGGCACAAACATGACTAACCTCTCGCCCTTAAAGGGGCAGGTGAAAATGTTTGTCTCATCTGTGATATTTTGGTTAAATGAAATTACACAATATACCACATTACTTCTTACTGGTAATACATTTATGGTTTTAGAAGCATTACAAAGCATGCTCATCCGTGTATTTCTTTTGGTGTCATTTTGGCGGAAAACAAATATTTTGGCTGTTAAAGATTTTTATATCTACCTGCCACAGTAGCTGGTGGACCAAGAAGTTAATTTTATGCCCTTATTCCTAGACTAGACTACCTGGTCTGCGTGCAAATGTAGGCTTATGTGTGCCCATTTGGGGATCTGATAGTATTACTGAGTGTATTAACTCACCACCACTGAGTTGTGGAGCTTTTCTCTTCACCTCAAACAGCAAGTAAACAAAGTCAGTTTTTACATCCTTTGAGAATGACAATAGTTCCTCAATGAGCCTATTTGAAAAATCTTTCCTTTCGTTAACCACTGTGTGAAAGGGAAACTGTCATGCTCTGATCCAGTGGAAACGTCATAAAATAGGCCTACCTGATTTACTTCTTATCCCTTGTGCAAATAGCCTACAGCTGTCTGTGTACGGAGCTCACTGGCAAGGGAAACTCTGAGGTTCCAGAATATTTTATACAATGTTGCAAGTTTAAGGCAAGCTTCAAGCTGGACCAAGTTGGCAGTCGATACAATGTTTAAAGTTCCTAGCAGACAGGCCATGCGTAGCCAATGTGATGGCAAGGCCATGGCAATAGAAGTTACTTTTAGATTTGTATAATTTTCATTTAGATATAATTTTTATTAATCACATGACAATGCTTTTGAGTTGGGAAGATTTTATTATAAAATAAATTAAACTCTTCCATGACAATGCACATATGAAAATCATAACTGTTACGCAGGTCGGTAGAAATGGTAAAATAAATTAGCACTCCTAATGGAAAAGGTTGCCGACCCCTGGTGTAGCCTATTACCGGCAACTTCGGGAGCGTAATGGCAGAATCTGCGAAGACCAGAAGCGGGATGGGAACAGTTTGGGAACAGTTTTTTTTCTCTCCTTTTTTCCACCTCTTTTTTTTCTGGTTCTTCTTGATCTCTGGCTCACTCTTGAGTCATTTGTGTCTTAATTATTTAATGCTTAAAATATCAGACAAGCTCGTCTGATGGAAAAATACATGTTTTGGAAAAATACAGGTTTTAAAATTTCAACCTGTCAATTGGTTGAAAGAACTGACTACTCTTGGTTGAACAATATATTTGTTTTAGTCAGGGACAGCCTTAGATTTAACAGGTGACATCTAAGGGGTCATAGCTTTCACCTGGATTCACCTGGTCAGTCTGTCATGGAAAGAGGTCTCTTTATTTTGGCAGTTACCTATATGTTGCTCATATGTAACAGGGTGGTTAGTGGGTTTACTGTATCTGAAAGGGTCACCCAGTGGGGCAAGTAATGCTCTGACTTTATTCACTGAAATGTCAGAACACCAGATGGGCCTGGGGCATGCTTAGTGGTTCAACTAGCGTTTAGAGCATTGCAGATATTTGTAGTTTAATTTCTAAAGCTGACATGGTTCCCTCTTGATGGAGACCTACTGTACTCCAAACCATCTGGAGGGCAGTGAGACGTTCAGCAAACAATGTTGTAAGATGTATTCTCTAAACCTGTCACATCATCTAGTGGACGTATTGATTGGAACAGATTATGGATGACCTTTCCTATATTTATCATTAAATGCACTCTCGGGGAAGAATGTCAGCCATTGATTTATTATTTTATCTGTCCACAGAAAATCTCAATACCACGGTCGGAAAATCCGAATGAGCTGCGAACATTTACTTTCTACTTGTCCAATGTGGGTAGAGACAACCCACAGGGCAGCTTTGACTGCATCCAGCAGTACATCACCAGGTGAGTGACCACAGAGGAACTGGACATAGGCTGGCCTCATCCCCTCTGACATGACACATTCACTCGCAGAAATTCATCACTCACATTCGCACATAATATGCATGCAAACACCCTTCGCACTGTTTATTTGAAGAGTTATTCTGTTTTGGATTCAAGCTTCTGTACCATGGCCCCACTTTGTCCGTGTGTTAGTGTCTATTTGGACTGGCCTTGATAAATGAAATTGATAAGAGTGACGGTTTGCATACGGAGGAATTAACATGGTTAAGAGCTGAACTGGATTAGGAGAGTTCTGAAAGATGTTTTTAGGAGAGTGCCATCTGCTCTCTTCGGCCTATTTGCCTCAGGAGTCTGATCGAAGACTAATGTTGAGCAAATGTATTGAACTGGGTCAGATGTCTGCTTATTGAGGTGTAAGGAGAGGAACTAAGTCCCGGCTCTGACTGTCTAGCGTTTTAACACCAATCATGTCTTCAACCATTTCTAATGAGAGATGTTTGGCTGGAGTTCACCCATCACCCTGGATGATTATGAGCCCCTAATTCCAATATAAACCAGAGGCAGAGCCACTGAGGGTTGCCAACTCTATTTCATCCCCTGCCAAACCATCATCAAAGTGAGCATGAATCAAAGGCAGTCAAAACCAGGAAAGATTAGGATTTAATGCAACGTTGGCTCATTAATGTGGGAATCCACAGTTAAATAGAGAATCAAGTTATAATGCCCTCAAGGCAGTGGTATGTCATGAAATTAGCCTGGCTAGGAGCGTTGGGCATGAAATGTTTACCGAATGTACTTCCTCACTAGTCTTTATAGGCGGTACAGTGTTTCACCTAATCTTTTTTTTTCCTGCAGGTGGTGGCAAGGGTAGGGGGGTCAACCACTTAGTTGACCAGTTGGGCTTGTTGGTGTCTGTTTAACCCTTTCTCCTCTGTGTTGTCTCAGTGAGGGGAGCATTCAGCTGGACTGCCTGGGTGGGATCCAAGACAAGATCACAGTGTGTGCCACGGACGACTCTTACCAGAAGGCCAGGCAAAGCATGGCTCAGGCAGAGGAGGAGACCCGCAGCAGGGGTGCTATCGTCATCAAGCCTGGCGGGAGATACGTGGGTAAGACCCTTAGACATTGTCTACACTGAGAGCTGTGGTCACAACCAAGTCAAACAGAACATGGGCTGCTAATTTAGCCCTAGTCTAGGATGGATGCATACAGGATTTATGTTTTTCAATCTTATTAGAAATAAGTTTTGCAGGTCTTTATAGGGGAAATTTTCCCTCATGTCGGTTTACATCCAGGGTGAGTGAATGCTGACTCAGTAGGAGGGACATTTTCATTAAAATGCTGCTCCCGCAGTGAGCTGTCTCATATCAGGGTGTGTTTGGGTTTGCGGCGCACGCCAGGGAGTCTGAGCAGTAGCAGGGTCATCAGCCACGCTCTTATTGACGATGATGTGGGTTATTTCCACATCAGTCAAGCCCTCCAACCTCCTAGTGTGGCCCTGTCCAGTGGGAGAGATTTAGCCTCTTATCCAGCCTCCTCCAGGGTAGAGATGCCATTTCCACACTGAAAACACACACAGGCAGGGCTGCTTCAAGTGAACATCAAACATACTGTGTGGGCTTTTTACTAGTCTCAGGAGAGCTGCATACTGAAACTGGTTCTGCTGCAGTTCAGTAAAGAAAGGCCATAGCAGCCCTGAATAGAAACAAAGAAATGTACCTAGAAATCAAACCGCATAATCGCTATTATGCATTGCTGTTTTTGATTAAGCTTTTAGAATACACTGCAATTGACTTGTTGGAGAGGAAGTTAGAACGGTGTGGTGTCATTTCTGTTGAGTCCCAAGCTGTCTTAGTCTCACACTATCTCCACATGACCTTAATTCTGGTGAAAAGTGGCCGAGCTCACAGTGTATGGATAATTGCAGGCTCATGGTTCCCTGTGTGGGCCCCAAGGGGCTGACTGGGCAGGATGGTTAGGAGCTCAGAGCTTCACACCGTCACGCCTGTGACTTGGCACCAAACCAAATGCCGAACTAACTGCCCAGTCGCCACAGAAACGCCATCATAGGTTCACAGATGTCTGATTTAATGTAGCTGTTTTCCCAGAAAGATTTGTACTGTTGACTTTATAGACTAGTTGGGTTCATTTTCATAAAGCTCACCCTGATATTATAACAGGTACTGCTAGATGTGTACGTCTCTCTGTTGACAAGAACGTTTTGATGGCTGTCAAGTGCCTTTTTGAAGACGTTCGGGATCAACCTTAAGTACAACTTCTCATTACAACCCCAACCTCTCATGGTTATGTCACAAAGGCCCAACCTTTCTGACCCATAGCCATGTCTCTGTTCTAATCAGGTAAGAAGGTGCAGATCCGGAAACCAGCACCTGGGCTGTCTGACATCGCTCCATCGCGGCGGACGTCGCGGCCGGTCATCATCTCCAGCAGTGTGGTGAAGAAGAGCACGGTGCAGCAGAGGCCCCTGAGGGAGCGCCTCACCCACCTGCTGGCCCTCAAGCCCTACAGGAAGCCTGAGCTCATCCTGCGCCTGCAGAAGGATGGCCTCTTGCCCTTTGACAAGGACTCTCTGGACAGCCTTCTGCAACAGGTTAGTTAAGTCAGACACACTCATAGGGTACAGTGCCTCTCACAACAGGTTAGTTATTTATACTGGGCCTTGGCAGACCCAGGGCCCTTCTGAGCTCAGTGTCCTCAACAGATAAGTTAGTCACAGGGCCCAAACCACCTACTATTAATCCCTTAGAGCCAGGGGCTTAGCCTGTGGTTACAGGCCAGCCCTCCAGCCCACTGCAAACAAGTCAGTCACTGCCAGTGGTGCAGGGTATTAATGGTGCATTTCTTGAGGATAGGTTTAGAAAATGCATTCCTCCAGAATACTGCATCATGGCATTAATGTAATGTATTGATTGCTGTCCATAGGTGGCTAACCTAAATGTGAGAGACAACACCTTCACATTGAAGGACTCTTTATTCAAGGACATTCAGAAGGACTGGCCAGGCTACACTGAGGGAGACCAGCAACTTCTGAAGAGGATCCTTGTTCGGTATGTGCTAGGTGGTGCTATATTACTATATCGCATGCCATATTACAACCAATGCTTTTGTGTGCAGTTCCACATGTCAATAACTATCAGTGGCATAAACCAGCAATAATGGAATCCTCCTCAGTTTGGTTTCTGTACTTTATCACCTCTGCTTTGTGTGTTAGTTTAAACAAACTTCCATATGATTCCAAATGCTGTAGTTCCAGATATCCTCAGGAACAGTACAGACTCAAGTCTGAAGCCAGGCACTGCTCACTCTGTGTGGTTTTCTCTCTGCCCTGTGCTCTTGACAGACCTAACTGCCTTTTTTACTGGTGCGACCAGGGAAGAAATCTGGTTTCTCAAGATCTGGGGCAGTAAGGAAATGAAGCTCCCAGCTAAATTTCGAACCGGCATTGCAGCGTGTTAAGCTGGGTTTACTGAGTCGACCCAAAATTGTTGGAATCAATATAGTAGGGAATATTTCACTTTCTCAGTGATTTTAAATGTTTCTGTGGAACTCATCTGAAAGCAAGAGATTTCTACCGTATGTCTTTTTGGACTGCACTTTGAGCCTTGGCTAGCTTATCAGCTGAACACCCTCCCACAATGTTTGAACACCAGCCGTGGTCACGCAAGAGTAGTGCAGCAAAATGATTGGAAGGCCTGTGATGCAACCCTGTTCCAGCACATGCTGAGCCATGTGTGAGATGGCACTGGTTCAAGGTCCAGGCTCTGTGCTTGAGCCTAGGCTCCTTAGGCTTCAGCTGTGACAGGACCACTGCACAGCAGCCAGCCTCTTCCCTAGACGGTTCTCCCCACCCCTCTAGTGTTCCTCTCTCACTCACTATTTTCTTACTCTTTCGCTTTTTTGTTCTCCTCCTCACCACTTTCTCCCTCTCTGTAAGGGTGGGGCTTGGAGAATTCCCCACTGTATCCCACTGCCCCCTACTGTCAACACTCTACCAACATACACAAATAGTATTCTGTTTATGTACACATTACACAACCTCTGTATACTGTTTTTATTTAGCAGCTGTAACTTAGCATCTCTCCCAAGGCTTTGCCAGAGATCTGTTTATGATGTCTGACTTGGGTTTAACCAGGTCAGTTTTATTTGTATTTCTGTCTGAGACTGAGTGGCATTGAGACGAAGAAAATAACAGAATGTGGAGAAAGGCCACCATAATACGGTCATGTGCCAATATGTCACAGGTCCCAGGAACTGGGAGTCGAGTTGGTGCTATGAATTAACACACCCACCCAGCACTAGTTACATGGCAGACTTGCCAACTCAATGTACTTGTGCACTAGATTTAACCTGAACTCAGGAAGTTTTCTCCAAAATAATGAATGTCTGAATTGGGCTCACAGCGATGTATTATTTATGTCTGACTATGTGGTGACTCAGCTTCTGACTTGTTTTGTTTTAGGAAAATGTGTCAGGCCCAGAGTCAGACTCCGAGCACTGCCACCACAGTGGCTCCTCCAGCTGAGGTCCCACTCCCAGTGAGCCCTCCCAAAGAGCTGGCTAGCAGCTCCCCGTCGCAGGTGAGCCTTTTCTTCCACTTCTCCTCATCTCCATTCTCCTGCTCTTCCTCCCCTTCTCCTCCTCTTCTTTCTTAGCCACTTCCTTCCCACTCCTTACAGAGCATCCTCATAGGGCATTCCACTGGGTCCCATTTAAGAGGAGTTACTCTAGATTTTATTACTTCCCCTCTGAGTTTTCCTGAGACGCCTCATGTCCTTTCCCTTCCGTTCCCTCCCTTCTTACGCATTAGCACATACACACTCCAGTCTCCCCCTCCTCCGTACACACAACATACACACACAGTTGGTTTGGGTGTTCGTTGAAAAGAGGGCGTTTTGGAACACTGTAAACATACACAACTGCTCCTTGGTGGGTTTATGTGGCCAGTCTGGGTTTGGTGAAAGAAGTTTGAGGAGTTCTACCAAACTAAACAGGTTATGGAGCCGTGACGGTCCACAGGGCTCCAAACTTTGCTCAGTGTTATTTCAGAACCATGGACTTCCTGCTCCACTGTGATTAGGTCAGCCACTTCCAGAATTGTTAGTGTAGGTTGGGTCAAATGTAGTCTGTTAGTAATACAATACCATGCGTTGTGTGGAAAGGGGATGGTTATCCTTGGGGATGGGCACCGTTATCCGGATATCCAGGTTTCCGAATGGACGTTAGTATTCTATTACTTGAGTGAGTGTTCATTTTTGCTGAATTTTAGTTTTTAGGCCTATTTTGACAATGCAAAAACTTTGTTATAAACCATGAAATTTGAAATACTTAATATAATAAAACAACTTTTGAATGTAGTTTTTATAAATGGGCTCACAGCCCTCTAGTCCAGTCTGCCCTGACATTGGTATGCCATTTTCCCCACTTCAGATGGTAATTACAGGCACACACCTAACAGTTTCCACAAGACCTGACACAGATCAATGCAAAACACCTTTTTGTGACAGAATCAGTTCTATCATGGTTAAAATCAGACTTCTCTTTCACTGTTGCTTTTAGCGAAAAGTTTAGGAGAAAAGCAGCCTGTCTGCTGTTTACCTCTACCATGTGCATTTGTGTAATTCTGATTGGTCATGAGACAAGCATTTGTTTGGAGGGGACTATCCGGATATCTGAAGAAAAAGTAATTATATTATTTGAATAGTGAAAAAGTAAAATGCCCATCCCTAGACATAATACTCCCAATGTGGCTGAGAGATCCCTTTCACTCTGACCTTCTTTGCTTCACACCAGCACAGCACAGGAGGTTAGTTAATTCTCAGGATTTAATCTTAATATGTCAGTAATAGATATCTGCTAATTATTTCTCTGACTCCTTAGAGGTGAAATTAGTCCATATTTCCGTTGTAATTTTCTGCCTCTAAAACTCTGTTTCTGCCAGAAACGGCCTGCTGCGGATTTCATCGATCCTCTGGCCAACAAAAAGCCCAGGATATCACACATGGCCAACAAGGCAGCGGTGCCAATAAATGGCAAGCAGAGTTCCTCCAATGGAAAGGAGGTGAGTGGGGCCATGGTCGCCGTGCCAGCGATGGGAGAAGGCGTGATGTCCAGCTCCCAGCTCCCCTTACTGGACATCCACCGGCCCTTCGACCCACTCTCCGACGTCAGTAACGATTCCAGCCACAATGGCCGGGACTGTGAGGGCCAGGAGGCCGCCGTGGCTGAGAGACTGAGCCAGCCACCAGTCTTCTCTGGGCCCGCAGCGCTGTCCGTACCAACCCTGGGCCCCACGTCCCCTGGACACACTGGCCTAGATGGGCCCCGGGGCAAGAGCACCTCGCCCTCCCTGCACGGCAAGTCCAAGAAGAAGTCCAAAAAACACAAAGACAAGGAAAAGTCCAAAGAGAGGGAACGGGGGAGAGTGAGGGAGAAGGAGAGGAAAGGAGCAGAGGAGCCTGTTCCTGAGCCAAGAAAAGCCTGTGACATCACCTCCAGCCCTGAAAACCTGAAGAGCAGTAGTATTCCACACAGCAGCACAGGTGAGACGTGTCCAAGTTATGGTGTGGATCTCAACCCCTCTAGAAATGTACAGATAAAACCTGTGTCATTGTAAAATTAGATGAATGATTGGCATAAGGGAGAAATGTTAAGCATGATTCCATCTCATGAATTTCAACCTTGGTGATTAATCAGACATTTTGCTAAATGGAAAGATGACATTATGTACTCAACATATCCGTCCCAATTTTAAATAAATTGATAAAATGGATGAATTAATCATATACCTACAGTGGGGAGAACAAGTATTTGATACACTGCCGATTTTGCAGGTTTTCCTACTTACAAAGCATGTAGAGGTCTGTAATTTTTATCATAGGTACACTTCAACTGTGAGAGACGGAATCTAAAACAAAAATCCAGAAAATCACATTGTATGATTTTTAAGTAATTAATTTGCATTTTATTGCATGACATAAGTATTTGATACATCAGAAAAGCAGAACTTAATATTTGGTACAGAAACCTTTGTTTGCAATTACAGAGATCATATGTTTCCTGTAGGTCTTGACCAGGTTTGCACACACTGCAGCAGGGATTTTGGCCCACTCGTCCATACAGACCTTCTCCAGATCCTTCAGGTTTCGGGGCTGTCGCTGGGCAATACGGACTTTCAGCTCCCTCCAAAGATGTTCTATTGGGTTCAGGTCTGGAGACTGGCTAGGCCACTCCAGGACCTTGAGATGCTTCTTACGGAGCCAGTCCTTAGTTGCCCTGGCTGTGTGTTTCGGGTCGTTGTCATGCTGGAAGACCCAGCCACGACCCATCTTCAATGCTCTTACTGAGGGAAGGAGGTTGTTGGCCAAGATCTCGCAATACATGGGCCCCATCCATCCTCCCCTCAATACGGTGCAGTCGTCCTGTCCCCTTTGCAGAAAAGCATCCCCAAAGAATGATGTTTCCACCTCCATGCTTCACGGTTGGGATGGTGTTCTTGGGGTTGTACTCATCCTTCTTCTTCCTCCAAACACGGCGAGTGGAGTTTAGACCAAAAAGCTCTATTTTTGTCTCATCAGACCACATGACCTTCTCCCATTCCTCCTCTGGATCATCCAGATGGTCATTGGCAAACTTCAGACGGGCCTAGACATGCGCTGGCTTGAGCAGGGGGACCTTGCGTGCGCTGCAGGATTTTTATCCATGACGGCGTAGTGTGTTACTAATGGTTTTCTTTGAGACTGTGGTCCCAGCTCTCTTCAGGTCATTGACCAGGTCCTGCTGTGTAGTTCTGGGCTGATCCCTCACCTTATGATCATTCATGCCCCACGAGGTGAGATCTTGCGTGGAGCCCCAGACCGAGGGTGATTGACCGTCATCTTGAACTCCATTTTCTAATAATTGCGCCAACAGTTGTTGCCTTCTCACCAAGCTGCTTGCCTATTGTCCTGTAGCCCATCCCAGCCTTGTGCAGGTCTACAATTTTATCCCTGATGTCCTTACACAGCTCTCTGGTCTTGGCCATTGTGGAGAGGTTGGAGTCTGTTTGAGTGTGTGTGGACAGGTGTCTTTTATACAGGTAATGAGTGGAGAACAGGAGGGCTTCTTAAAGAAAAACTAACAGGTCTGTGAGAGCCGGAATTCTTACTGGTTGGTAGGTGATCAAATACTTATGTCTTGCAATGAAATGAAAATTAATTACTTAAAAATCATACAATGTGATTTTCTGGATTTTTGTTTTAGATTCCGTCTCTCACAGTTGAAGTGTACCTATGATAAAAAATTACAGACCTCTACATGCTTTGTAAGTAGGAAAACCTGCAAAATCGGCAGTGTATCAAATACTTGTTCTCCCCACTGTATATTACTGCAATCTGCATTACAATTGAGAAAGTAGGGCCTGGAATTGCCCGGGACCTCACGATATTATATTATCATGATACTTAGGAGCAGATACGATATGTATCACGATTCTATATGCATTTCAATTCAATTCTGCAATTCTATAAGGATTTGATGTTCCTCAAATCTTGCTAACTATATGTTGGCTGCAGAGGGACAAGAGCGACATAATAAAAGTTTTGATCAGTGGAAATAAAAGTATTGAAAACATGTTGGCTCACCATTTTAAAAAGATTTGAGGACAAGCTTTGAGGAGAAATACCTAAGCTTTGCCGCAGGTACAGTAGACTAGCTCTAGCTAATGTTAACTACAGTGAGGGAAAAAAGTATTTGATCCCCTGCTGATTTTGTACGTTTGCTCACTGACAGACATGATCAGTCTATAATTTTAATGGTATATTTATTTGAACAGTGAGAGACAGAATAACAACAACAAAATCCAGAAAAATGCATGTCAAAAATTTATAAATGTATAAAGTTATGAATTGATTTGTATTTTAATGAGGGAAATAAGTATTTGACCCCTCTGCAAAACATGACTTAGTACTTGGTGGCAAAACCCTTCTTGGCAATCAGAGGTCAGACGTTTCTTGTAGTTGGCCACCAGGTTTGCACACATCTCAGGAGGGATTTTGTCCCACTCCTCTTTGCAGATCTTCTCCAAGTCATTAAGGTTTCGAGCCTGACGTTTGGCAACTCGAACCTTCAGCTCCCTCCACAGATTTTCTATGGGATTAAGGTCTGGAGACTGGCAAGGCCACTCCAGGACCTTAATGTGCTTCTTCTTGAGCCACTCCTTTGTTGCCTTGGCCATTTGTTTTGGGTCATTGTCATGCTGGAATACCCATCCACGACCCATTTTCAATGCCCTGGCTGAGGGAAGAAGGTTCTCACCCAAGATTTGACGGTACATGGCCCCGTCCATCGTCCCTTTGATGCGGTGATGTTGTCCTGTCCCCTTAGCAGAAAAACACCCACAAAGCATAATGTTTCCACCTCTGTTTGACAGTGGGTGATGGTGTTCTTGGGGTCATGGGCAGCATTCCTCCTCCTCCAAACACGGCGAGTTGAGTTGATGCCAAAGTGCTCGATTTTGGTCTCATCTGACCACAACACTTTCACCCAGTTGTTTTTATTTTATTTTATTTTTGTCATTTAGCAGACGCTCTTATCCAGAGCGACTTACAGGAGCAATTAGGGTTAAGTGCCTTGCTCAAGGGCACATCGACAGATTTTTCACCTAGTCGGCTTGGGGATTAGATCCAGCGACCTTTCGGTTACTGGCACAACGCTCTTAACCACTAAGCTACCTGCCGTCCTCTGAATCATTCAGATGTTCATTGGCAAACTTCAGACGGGCCTGTATATGTGCTTTCTTGAGCAGGGGGACCTTGCGGGCGCTGCAGGATTTCAGTCCTTCACGGCGTAGTGTGTTACCAATTGTTTTCTTGGTGACTATGGTCCCAGCTTCCTTGAGATCATTGACAAGATCCTCCCGTGTAGTTCTGGGCTGATTCCTCACCGTTCTCATGATCATTGCAACTCCACGAGGTGAGATCTTGCATGGAGCCCCAGGCCGAGGGAGATTGACAGTTCTTTTGTGTTTCTTCCATTGTTGTCACCTTCTCACCAAAGTGCTTGCCGATGGTCTTGTAGCCCATTCCAGCCTTGTGTAGGTCTCTAATCTTGTCCCTGACATCCTTGGAGAGCTCTTTGGTCTTGGCCATGGTGGAGAGTTTGGAATCTGATTGCTTCTGTGGACAGGTGTCTTTTATACAGGTAACAAACTGAGATTAGGAGCACTCCCTTTAAGAGTGTGCTCCTAATCTCAGCTCGTTACCTGTATAAAATACACCTGGGAGCCAGAAATCTTTCTGATTGAGAGGGGGTCATATACATATTTCCCTCATTAAAATGCAAATCAATTTATTTATTATTTTTGACATGCGTTTTTCTGGATTTTTTTGTTGTTATTCTGTCTCTCACTGTTCAAATAAACCTAACATTAAAATTATAGACTGATCATTTCTTTGTCAGTGGGCAAACATACAAAATCAGCAGGGGATCAAATACTTTTTTCCCTCACTGTACCTAGCAAAAAAATTGATACTTGGGGGTCATAGAATCGATATATCGTAAAAAAATATATCGCAATACTCTAAAGAATCACTCCCCCCACCATCCCTAGAAGAAAGTGTTAAACTTATCTTACAAAGTAACCTTGTGCTTCCTTTCAGATCTCAATGGAATGTGCAACAACACCAGTGTTCCTTCATCATCAACTGAGATGACAGACTATTTATCGTAAGGACTTCCTACCTCTTATAAAACCACAATACATTTATTATGAAATGACCATTTTAAATAATATAATATAATATGCCATTTAGCAGACGCTTTTATCCAAAGCGACTTACAGTCATGCATGCATACATTTTTGTGTATGGGTGGACCCGGGGATCGAACCCACTACCTTGGCGTTACAAGCGCCGTGCTCTACCAGCTGAGCTACAGAGGACCACCATTTTGTTTCCCGCAACAGATTCTGACGACAATTGGAAGGAATTTCATTGAAGTACTCCACTCTTAGTTATTCATTCTGTTTCCTCATTCTGAACAGGGAGTATACCGTGATTGGCTCTTCCGAGCAGCGTCAAACATACAAGAATGACTTTAATACTGAGTATAGTGAGTACCGGGGCCTCCACGCTCGGATAGAGGGCATCACCCGGCAGTTCACTGTGCTCGACACTGAGCTTAAGCAGCTCCAACAAGGCACAGACAAGTACAAGGTATGACCCCTTTAGCCCACTGGCGCATACTGTCTACGGTTCTACCTAAGCTGCAATATGGTGCTGTCCTGTGTTGTTATTGTTCCAATGTTCAACTTCAGGATTCAGGTGTAGTAAATGTTCTGACTCATTAATTGTTTTGTCATTTTGTCTTTTCTTTTACAGACAATTCACAATCAGATACTCCAAGAGTATCGTAAAATAAAAAAGGTGATCTTTGCATCTGTGACTATTTGTTTCTCGTAAAGCTGCTCAGGTAATTTTTCAACAAATACTGATTGTTTTACTTTCCCTCACAGACGAATCCCAACTATAGCCAAGAGAAGAACCGCTGTGAATATCTACACAGCAAACTGGCACATATAAAGAAACTTATAGCTAAGTATGATCAACAGCAACTTCAAAACTGGACTGGTTGACATTTTCTCTTTTCTCTCTGCAAACCAGACAGAGAAACTCTGGATTCTGTTTGCTCTAAAAGTACTTATTAAAGATGCCATGAAGGGAGGGAGTATTCCCCTCATTGGGGCCAAAAGCACTAGCGAGGACAAAGCAGACCACATATTATTTTATATATTTTTTGAAGATGTGGCATGTTTGGCCAGATCTCTGTGTAGCTACACTGCTTCCAGAAAAGCTTTGCGTGGCGTTTCTCATACTCCCAGTCCCACTAAGTGCACAGAGATCTCTCGAAGAGTAGAAATGGAAAATCCACATTCTTTGGAGATCTCCAAACAGCCTTTCCTGGTTTGTAGACTGGGCGGTGGTGGTGACACTGAAATGGAGTCGGCAGATATTATGCCAAATGCAAATAGTTTGTTTGAGAACAGATTAAATGTAATGAAATATATGGTATCACATTTTCCCCATATATTGAAATGTAAGGTTCTGATGTTGAACTCTATTTTACTGTTTCTTTTATTTATTGTTTTATTTTTGGACATCCATAGGAGTAACAAGTTCTGTTGTAATTTTACACTCCTCAATATCAGTACTACAAAGCAGTGTCTCTTGTTTTTGTCTTCACATCTTGAATGTCAACCAGTATTTTATGCAAAAACTGCCTTGGCAATCATATTGTCCATCTGTTGCGATTCATACTTTTTTTTCCTTTTAAAGAGATACACCTATCCCCATCGATTTAAATAAAGACTATGCTATAAAAATTCCAGTCAGGCATAGGTGCCTCTGCTTGGCTTTTCTTACATATTGTTCAAATGTCTTAACCAGAAGGACATCATGTAAGAGCAGCCGCAGCCTCTGGTGATAGGCGCTTACTGAATTTTTAAGGGTTAACACAAGCTGGGAAAGTATTTTTCACAATCAGTCGTGGCAAGCTCTGATTGTTTTTCGTATGGTTACAGTGATGGTACTTGGCTATGCCTGTGTGCTATGGGGCAAGGTTGTTTTCCCTACGCAGTTGTTAAACATTTACATTTACGTCATTTAGCAGACGCTCTTATCCAGAACCAGTTCACTATGGTGTCAGACTCACTGTCCTCATGTACACACCAGGCAAATTTGGATCCTTGTATTGTATCACCTAGATGAGGTAATCAGCGCTTTGACATAATGTAGTCTGTTTAATCACAAGTTGGAAGATACAGTATTCGTATATCCCATGCAGCAGCTTTTACCATTGTAACTTTTCTCTTTGCAACTGTTTAAAGTGTACTGGAATATATTGGTAGGATCATTTCCTTCTAATTCATGCAAACAATTTGCTCTTAAACAAGTGTTTTATTTCCTACATCTAGTGTTTTGTTCATCAACATGATTGTTAAGACGACTGTTAACCCAAGACCAGCCTCCCCGATCTTCCAAGTGGAGTGGATGACTATTATCTTTGTATATCTGCCAAGCTAAAGTATTCCAGCGCTTCAACGTGTCCTGAACCCCTGAAATGATCAGTAACGCTATAATGTTTTTGTAAACTTTGTCACTGAGCTCTCCCGAAATCACTGTTCAGTCAAGTTTGTTCTAGTCAACTAATGCATTTCTGATATTAACCTTTCTATGTGAAATATGAGAAATCTGCACTTTTTTTCAGCAAATCTTACTGTTACTCTTACCTGGGTTTTGTCTAAATGAGACGTTTCCCTTTGTCCATCAGAGTGCATGCTTTATGACCTGTATTTGTATCTTTACGTAAAACTGCTGCCTAAGGATATACAAATCCAAGCAAAGGCCTGATCAAACCTCAATATGGAAACTTTCTGACTAGCATTAATACCAAAACAAAATGCTCTCCCAGGAATTGAGCAAATGGCAAAATGATTTGAGTATTTTCTACTTACCATTGCTGATAAAGAACTGTTGATTTAGTTGGAAAATACTGTAATTTTAATCCGTATTTGCCCTACGAAATTTAATCTAGTCTTTGGTTACGACGTGAGCGGGGCTCATATTCACTTCAAATGGGCTCTCCATGCTTCTGCTCAGATGTTTCAATGTAATGTATGTTTACTGTATCATCACTTCCTAAAATCCAAACACTACACAACATGGCCAGCGTTCAGAGATTCATTTATCACAATGCTGATTATTGGGGCTGATTTGAGATTGCATCTGGAAAGAGGACGTTGCGGTCTTATGAATGTTTTGTGACCAGAATCAATTCTCAGCATCACCCATTACTGTGGAACCCTTTAAATAAGTCACTTTTCACTGGTCTCTGAGTGAGTTGTTTTATAGAGACATTCTGATAGGATTACTGTATACATTTCTCTTGCGGTCAAATCTATGTTGATGCCATTCTCTTCATCAATAAAGATGGTAAAGGTATTTATTGGCTCAGATATGGAGCTAAGTTGTGTTTAAGTATGAATTGCCAGTACAGAACCCCATGGTATGAGTTGAATGTGCCAAATGACCTGTTGTATAGGTTTTCATATGACTACAAATGGTGCTGTTTTAGCAAAGAGATGGCTTTGGAGGAGACTCTGCGATGTTGGCGCTTAAACCCAAAGCACGCTTTTTGAAACCGTAAGGGATTAGGACTGAAATTGATCTTTATTTGAATAAAATTATTTCAAATCCTTATTTTGGGTCATGTTCTGAGGCAGTTGTTGCACTTTTGTTATTGTATAGCATTTGAAACACACAAACCACACACATTAATTAATAGGAATTGAGTTTGAGGGATGATTTGTTAAATATTACAACCGTCAAATCCCAAACATTAGTGATCATGATTTTCCTTACCCTGAGATTTTACTGAATACAGAAAACAAAGGTCACTTTCTATAGCTGTTCTAAATGTTTCCTCCTTCCTGGTACTTTAATTGCCCAGGGTCATCATTTGTTTTACTGGTAACTGTAATGTATTTCCTGCCCCATTTCTAAATATGATTTCCCCATGATAATCTGCCGGGAAGCCTATATTTAGCCCTGTAGACATTGATGAGAAATTGTAGATCTTGATGTCAACAGTGAAACCAGATGTCTTGCCTCAAAATCCTCTAGGGGGCAGTAGTACTGTATTTATAGATTGCAGTTTGTGTCCATGACTTTGTCAACCAGGAGAAAGCTTCTATGTGCAGCATCAAGAATATTCGGCCATGGAGCGAACGCTGAGGCTACATTAGTGTGAGAGGTTCCATTATACAAAATACCACAATCTCAATCTGTTCAATATCAGGGGTCGGCGAAGCCCAGGAAAGCACAATTATGTACTTATCAGAATACCATTCCATAGGCTGTATGTATGCTGTGTATTTATGGTTCTGTTGAGCTTCATTATATCCCACAGGAATGTTTACTGTTTTCCTGCCTGCCACACTTGAAATCTGGCTCCAAAAAAGGCATTGGCATGGCTGTGTGGTACAGAAGACTGCTCTGTGTGGCTAACAGAAGGGCAGCAATCTGACGCACTGTGTGAAAGATTTCAGAAATCCATACATTGTTCCAGTTGGCCAGGCTAAGCTGCCTTTGGCTCCCGTCCGAATGTTGGCCTCAGCTCAGGGAGCTGGAGGGGTGTCAGCGAGTTCAGTTTGGCAGCTTGCCATCTGCTCCTGGTGGACTCCAGGCTTGCCCCCTCCCTCCTCTCAACATACAACACCACCACACACTATTCAGCCTCTCCACAGAGCCTCTGACATGTTTACAACCACACCAGAGATTAAGGGCTTTGCCTGTGTGTTGATGGGTCTGCCAGTAAGGCACAATCCTCTCATTTGTCTCAGTCCTAAAGATAGGGCTGAGTGATTCTGTAGACTTGAAGCACAGATCACCACCCTAATTTGGGAAAGTAGGTCATGGTTGAGTGTAACTGGCTGATTAAAATTACCTCTATACACCTCCATATTTGATCATCATTACACAACAGGTCCATGCATATGCACAGACTCAACACTGTTTGATTATTCAATAGAAATGCTGCTGCGAAAGGATGGTTTATCAGGCCCTTTTAAGAAAGAGGTGCAGAATGGATGCCTGACTTCCCCTGACAACAGCATCCATGGCAGTACACAACCCATCAGGACAAAAGAATAGCAGTGCTTACCTAGCAGCAGGTACCGCGTTGATTTAAATTTTACAGCATAAGGAACCACAGAGGCAGAATATTTTTTCTGACCAATTCTTTTCATTTAGTTATTTTCTTTGTTGGGGGAGGGGTTACAGATTTTACATTTACATTTTAGTCATTTAGCAGACGCTCTTATCCAGAGCGACTTACAGTTAGTGAATACATATATATTTTTTTATACTGGCCCCCGTGGGAATCAAACCCACAACCCTGGCGTTGCAAACGCCATGCTCTATCAACTGAGCTACATTCCCTCCTCTACCCTGGACGACGCTGGGCCAATTGTGCGCCGCCCATGAGTCTCCCGGTCACGGCCGGCTGCGACAGAGCCTGGATTCGAACCAGGATCTTTAGTGGCACAGTTAGCACTGCGATGCAGTGCCTTAGACCACTGCGCCACTCAGGAGTATAGATACCATATACAAATTATGTGGGCTGCCACGGGTGTGCCTTGTTAAAAGTTATTTTGTGGAATTTCTTTCCTTAATGCGTTTGAGCCAATCAGTTGTGTTGTGACAAGGTAGGGGGGGTATACAGAAGTTAGCCCTATTTGGTAAAAGACCAAGTCCATATTATGGCAAGAACAGCTCAAATAAGCAAAGAGAAACGACGGTCCATCAATACTTTAAGACATAAAGGTCAGTCAATCCGGAAAATTTCACAAACTTTGAATGTTTCTTCAAGTGCAGTTGCAAAAACCATCAAGCGCTATGATGAAACTGGCTCTCATGAGGACCACCACAGGAAAGGAAGACCCAAAGTTACCTCTGCTGCAGAGGATAAGTTCATTAGAGTTAACTGCACCTCAGATTGCAGCTCAAATAAATGCTTCAAGTGGTTCCCACCGTGAAGCATGGAGGAGTAGGTGTGATGGTGTGTGGGTGCTTTGCTGGTGACACGGTCTGTGATTTATTTAGAATTCAAGGCACAGTTAACCAGCATGGCTACCAAAGCATTCTGCAGCGATACGCCATCCCATCTGGTTTGGGCTTAGTGGGACTATCATTTGTTTTCAACAGGACAATGACCCAACACACCTCCAGGCTGTGTAAGGGCTATTTGACCAAGAAGGAAAGTGATGGAGTGCTGCATCAGATGACCTGGCCTCCACAATCCCCCGACCTCAACCCAATTGAGATGGTTTGGGATGAGTTGGACCACAGAGTGAAGGAAAAGCAGCCAACAAGTACTCAGCATATGTGGGAACTCCTTCAAGACTGTTGGAAAAGCATT